CCTGTCCCCCGGCTGCCACAATCCAGGGGGACCCCCTGCTAGTACCGACCTTGGCTGTCCTGGGGCCTGTGGGCTGAGGGTAGCTCCTGTGTTGAGCGTCTTCCCCCTGGTGGTCAGTGCATGTCATAGCTACCAGTCATTCCATGTTAAGTTGATTTGCATATTAGGCTTTTATTATATAGGATATATATATATATATATTTTAAGACCAGGGCAGCTCTCAAGTCAGTAACTAGCCAAAGAAGATAAAATGATATTGTGGACCTTACATCTTTTTAAATGAATTGAGACTAGTTGCTTTAGGGCAACTCCAGATTTTGGTACAAGATCATCTTGCTGTGGAAACTTGAAGTGATACCATAGTATCTGACTTCCTTGTAGCTGTTCATCCCATCTGCCCAATTACTGGTTCACGGTCCTGGAAATGCCGATTCCCTCTGTGTGGGGCTCAGGCTCCCATACTGCATGCAGTTCATGAACATGAGCACTTCTAGAATATAAAGTGATTTCTCGTAGGTCAATTTTTTTAAAAAAAACATTTTCTCCTGCACCAGTTTTGAATCTGCATTTCCAGGACATGAACAAGTAATTGGACAGATGGGATGAATGGCTACTGGGGAGTCAGATAGCTGCGCACACCAGCAAGCGATACTGTGGAATCACTCAGGTTTCCACAGCAAAATGAAGTCCTTGAAGGGCAGTAATGATTTTTTTAAGTAGCTCTTAATTTACTTTTTAAAATTATAATTATTTTCCCCAATTTTGTTGATATAATTAACCTATAACATTATGTAAGTTTATGGTGTAGAATGTGATGATTTGATATATTTATATGTTTCAAAATGATCATCACAATAGGGTTAGTTAAACGTCCATCACTTCATATAATTACCATTTCTTTTTTGTGGTGAGAACGTTTAAGTTCTAATAACTTAACTTTCAAGAATGTAATACAGTGTTGTCAGTTATGGTCAGCATGCAGTATATTAGATCCTCAGAATTTACCCATCTTTTTTTAAAAAAAAATATTTTATTGATTTTTTACAGAGGGGAAGGGTGAAGGATAGAGAGTTAGAAACATCGACGAGAGAGAAACATTGATCAGCTGCCTCCTGCACACCCCTCACTGGGGATGTGCCTGCAACCCAGGTACATGCCCTTGACCAGAATTGAACCTGGGATCCTTGAGTCCGCAGGCTGATGCTCTATCCACTGAGCCAAACCGGTTAGAGCAGAATTTACCCATCTTATATCTGAAAGTTTATATGCTTTGACTTACATCTCACCATATCCCCCACCCTTTAGCCCTTGGCAACCACCATTTTACTTGCTGTTTCTGTGAGTTCAACTTTTTAAAATTCAACCTGTTAGGGCTATGACTGTGTTGTTCTTTATCTGGCTTACTTCATTTAGCATAATGCCCTCAGAATACATCCATATTGTCACAACGGTATGCTTTCCTTCTCTCTCATGGCTGAACAATATTCCTCTGTATGTGTGCATGTGTATCATATCTTCTCTATCTATTTAGCCATGGACACTTCAAGGCTTGGCTGTTGTGAATAACGCTACAATGAACATGGGAGTGCAGATATCTTCCGAGATAGTGATTTTGTTTACTTTGAGTTTATATACAAAAGTGGGATTGCTGGTAGTTCTATTTAATTTTTTAAGGGACCTCCATGCTCTTTTTTCTTTTTGTAATCCTCACCTGATATTTTTTCCATTGACTTTTAGAGAGAGTGAAAGGAAAGGCATGGGGAGAGAGAAACATCGATGTGAGAGAGACACATCAATTGGTTGCCTCCTGCATGCACCCTGATCACTGCCGGGAACCTGCAACCAAGGTCTGTGTCCTTGACCAGAATCAAACCCGGAACCCTTTAGTCCTTGGGCTGATGCTCTCTCCAATGAGCCAAACCGGCTAGGGTAAAAATTGAATTCTTTAGATAAAAATTCAGACCCTTCCCCAAAAAAGATGTTCTTGGGACATTAGCTATCATCCTCTGTTATCTAATAAAATGATTACTTTAGCATAGGTGATTGACAGAATAAATTACACCACAACATGCCTGGATTTGATTTTCTTTTCCCAGGACTGACCAATTGCATTAGTGACTTGCTCTGCCAAAAACAAAATAAGCAAACTGGATTATACAATAGCTAAGTATTTTGTAGCTTGGAGGTGGTTTTTTTGGCATTTCCTTTACTAGAAAATAAATTACTCAGTATTATATCAAACTGCAGTCACACTGTGTTTTTATACATTGAATATTCAAATAATAGGAAGGGTAACCTGTTACACCAGGAAATAGGGCTTTTTTAAATTAAATCAAACTAGTAGAATCTAGTCAGAAGCTAATCTTTTTAACAAAGGGAATAAATAAAACCTCACCTTTGGAACGTTGCTTTAGACTTCTTTTTGAATGTTTTTGAAAGTCTACTAATCTTTTTTTTATCTAATTCAGTTTGTATATGGACTACCTCTGTGTTTTGAGAGATTGTAGTGTCAAAGCATGGGGAGCATTAAACCAATGAAGCAGGATCTGTTGGTAAGTTATTTTGAGGAAACAATGTTATTATTAACAAGATTAAATGTAGTATTAAAGATGAAGAGTAGAATAGGATATTTTCTAATAGTACAGGTTTTTAAGAGAACTAGGAGGGGAACATTTAGAAAAGACAGGTAATTATTTGCAAATCTGCCTAGGTGATATGAAATGGTCTGTAATTCTTTCATTCTCTGGTTTGTTGTTAAAATTTCCACCTCCTTTTTCTTGATGTTTGTCTTTTTTAGATTGTCAAAAGAGTGGGGAATAGTGAGGAAACACCGATGATCGGAGATAAAGTTTATGTCCATTACAATGGAAAATTGGCAAATGGGAAGAAGTTTGATTCCAGTCATGATAGAAATGAACCATTTGTCTTTAATCTTGGCAAAGGTAAGAGGGTATTTTTGAGTTTTGTTTTGCTTATATTTTTTGCTATTTATGTTATATAGGAGCTAGTGGGTCCTATCTTTGCCAGAAGTTAAAGATTTTTTTTAATCCTCACCCAAGAATGCTTTTTTAAAAAAATGTGTTCTTATTGATTTCAGAGAGAGGAAGGTAGAGGGAGACAGAGAGATAGAAACATCAATGATGAGAGAGAATCATTGATAGGCTGCCTTCTGCTCGTCCCCCAGTGAGTATTGAGCCTGCAATCCGGGCATGTGCCCTCACCAGGAATTGAACCATGATCTCCTGGTTCATGGGTCGATGCTCAACCACTGAGCCACACCAGCTGGGCTCAGATTTTTTTTATTGATTTTAGAGATAGAGCAGTGGTTCTCAACATTCCTAATTCCGCAACCCTTTAATACAGTTCCTTATGTTGTGGTGACCCCCAACCATAAAATTCTTTTCGTTGCTACTTCATCACTGTAACTTTGCTACTGTTATGAATCGTCATGTAAATATCTGATATGCAGGATGTATTTTCATTGTTACAGATTGAACATAATTAAAGCATAGTGAGTAATCACAAAAACAACATGTAATTATATATGTGTTTTCCCATGGTCTTAGGCGACCCCTGTGAAAGAGTCATTCGACCCCCAAAGGGGTCGCGACCCACAGGTTGAGAACCGCTGAGATGCAGGGCGAAAGATAAACATCAATGTGAGAGAGAAACACTGATCAGTTGTCTCCTGCACCCTCCCCATCTGGGGGTCAAAACTGAGCCTTTTGGTGTACAGGATGATGCTCAACCAACTGAGCCACTTGGCCAGTACACAAAAGTAAAGATACTTTAAAGTATTTCTCAGATTACGGTCCCTGGATCCTTGGGCATTCTTGAGATCATTTTAGGAGATCTGTAATGTCAAAATTATTTTCATAATAATACTAAGATGTTATTTATCTTTTTACTCTGGAGCCAACGTACACCAGCAGTCATATATCCTTTACTGCCCTCATTTACTGTTTAAGTTAGAAAAAAAGGGAAGCCAGTTTCACTTAAGAATGTCCTTGATATAGTGTAAAAAATACTAATTTTATTCAGTCCTAATCCCCGAGTTTCACATTGTCTTGCTGTTTTGTGATAAAGAGAAGCACACACAAAGCACACTCTTCACCACGTTCGTGGCTCTGAAGGAAACACACCTGTGCACTGGCTTTAGTGGAGAGCTGTACTAGCTGCTTTTTTTTTTTTCATGAAACATCATTTTTATTAGAAAGGGCAAAAAGTATGATTATTCAGACTTGATTATTCAGTAGTGTGCAGATATTTTCTTGAAAATGAGTGAGGTAACCTGTCACTTCGAGAACAGCTGACAATATTTGTTACCATTGAATTTTCAAGTGAAGGTTACAGTTTGGACATTAGTATCTGCCACTTTGAGCTTGACAGCTTCTCAAAGCCTAAAAGATTTCTGATGAGGTCAGTGGGTGTTAATGTGTGTGATTTAAAAACTACTATATGATGAAATCTGTTAGCATTTGGAAAATCTGTGTAACTCAGTGAACAAGCATTTTTCCCAATGACCAGTGCAACTTATAAAGTTACACATGAGTAACAGATTCAGTGTGCACGCTAGACCAATGGATTTACTGTAGTATAAGGTAAAAAGTTCATTGATATGTTTTCAGGTTCTACATTGCAACTAAAGTTTATGAAGCTACCATTTGTCTAGTTTTGATGTAGTAATAGATGATTACATTTCATAATAGCCTGAAAAGGGTATTAGAATACGCTTACCTTTTTCAACTATCTATCTTTGTGAGTTTGGATATTTTTGCCATGCACATCAATCAAAATTGCAACAGACAAATATAAATAAGGTTTGAGAATCTGGTTGTCTTTTTTATTTTTTTAAATATATTTTTATTGGTTTCAGAGAGGAAGGGAGAGGAAAAGAGAAAAACATCAAGGATGAGAGAGAATCATTGATCAGCTGTCTCTTGCACACCCCACACTGGGAATCAAGCCTGCAACCTGGGCATGTGCCCTGACCAGGAATTGAACTGTGACCTCCCAGTTCATAGGTCAATGCTCAATCACTGAGCCACACCAGCTGTGCCCAGTTGAAGTCAGACATATTTTACATTTGTAAAATCACAAAACGATGTCATTGTCCTTACTAACTTTTTTTTGTTTTGGAAAATATAATATTTTCACAAAAATAAGTATATTAACATAATGAGGTTATTTTTAAATTAATTGTATATAATTATTTTTGTTTTTAATATTGTAACTATCTATAGATATATAAGTAAATTTTGGGGGTCCTCAATTTTTAAGATGTCAAGGGGTCCTGAGAATAAAACAGATTAATAACCACTGTTTTCCCCAACTCAGTGTCTACTATAATTTCTTTCTTTTTCTGCCTCTACAACTTAGTTGAATTGTTAACTAAGTAGTGATCTGGGAAAGGAAGCAACAAGTAAGGAGCTAAGAAGTTAAACTCTTCCTGCCTTTCTGCCACTCTGTCTTCCCAGTACTTGTAGATGTTTGTTTGTCATGGTGCCTTCTGCTTTCTGTCCATCTGTCCTCTTTCCAGGCTCTCATGCTGGCTGTGCCACTGCCTGCTTCTCCTCTGGGTCCTTCATGACGTAACAGCTCATGTGAGAATGATCTTGTATGTTAATAAGATAGCAGCACCTGGCTGGTGTGCTCAATGGTTGAGCATTGTCCCATGCACTGAAAGAGTGCCGGTTCGATTCCCATTTGGGGCACATGCCCAGGTTACCAGTTTGGTCCCCAGGAGGCAGCCAATCAGAGTTTCTTTCTTCTCACGTCAGTTTTTCTCTCCCTTTCCCTTCCTCTCTCTCTAAAATCAGTAACAACATGTTTCTTTTAAAAAAAAAAAGCATAGCAATTAAGATTATTTTTCTTGATGTAGCAGATAATAATGGCAGTTAAATTAGAATTCTTTTCATTTTGTTGATTTAGGGATGTGAAGCTTAAGGGCCATCAGTATGGCTCTGACATTGTTTAATTTAGATGATCTCAGAGTAAATGGCCATGGCAGACCTCTTTGTTCCCACTGCCCCAATTCTTACTCTAACCTTTGAATTTATGTGTGGAAGAAGTTGATAGATTTAAGGTAAGTCTTCTCCTGGCAGTTATCTTTGCAAGTAGACTTAAGACTTGCTGAGAATTTATACTGCCATCTTCTCTACCCAGATATTCTCAGTAAATCACTCTATGATGAAGAAGGCTTTTATGTTTCCTATAATTTTGAGCAGAGAGAAGAGAGATAACTTTCAGTGACATGGCTCCTGCAGCATAACTATTTAGAGACAGCGTCGTCTCATGGGGAGAGCATCCAGCTGGGTGTTGGGCAGCCAGGGTTCCTCTCTTCGCTCTTCATTCTGGTACGTTAACATGAATAAGCCACCTAGCCTTCTTTCCTGATCCTATAAAATGTAGAAGAGCTTTAAGATTAATCCTGAGCCTACGATTCCATTTTTGTACTTTCTGCAAAGAATACAGGAATATCCCTGACCAGTTTGGCTCAGTGGACTGAAGAGTCCCAGGTTCGATTCCGGTCAAGGGCATGTCATGCACCTTGGTTGCGGGCACATCCCCAATAGGGGGTATGCAGGAAGCAGCTGATGGATGTTTCTCTCTCATGGATGTTTCTAACTCTTTATCCCTCTCTCTTCCTCTCTGTAAAAATCAATAGAATATATATTTTTTAAAAAGGATACAGGAATAAAAACTGTTAATGACTAAAACCAACCCAATTACAGAGCCTTTAGAAGCTCCCTTAAAGTGATAATTAGAAATATGATAATAGAGCAATATACTTTGGTAAAACTTCTGTAACATATTGTGTTCAGTTACCTTTATAAAACAAGAAACATTGGTTAGATAATGTTATATTTATATGCTATAGCAGTAGCTACTTCATCAAAATGAAGACAAATGATATAAATGGATTATAGCTTACATATTGTATATTGAACTCTCTTGATCCCTTATATTGTACTTACTCTCCCAAGGAAATAAATAGAAGTAAATAGTTGAATGGGAAGTCATAAAGTTGTTAATTTTATTGTGACTTCAGTATTTAAAATAGAATTGTAAGAGCTTATTCATAAAAACATGCAAAATACAGGGTGGGGCAAAAGTAGGCTTACAGATATTCATATGGAAAATAATACAGTAATTAATAAATAATAATACAAGAATAAACTTTGTATTTGTGTGCTCACAATTGTAAACCTACTTTAGCCCTACACTGTATACTTGCAAAATATTGCAGATCAGAAGTTGGTAATACGTCCTGGAAATACTTCAAAAAAAGTACAGCAAGCGTGAATCAGGTGTATTTTTAATTATCTGAAACTCTTTAGTGATTAGCCTCATATTTAAATATTTATTAACTTTTGTATTTTATTTTTTAAAATATACTTTTATTGATTTCAGAGAGGAAGGGAGAGAGAGATAGAAACATCAATGATGACAGAGAACCACTGACCAGCTGCCTCCCGCACGCCCCCCACTGGGGATCGAGCCCACAAACCAGGCATATGCCCTTGACTGGAATCGAACCTGCGACCCTTCAGTCTGCAGGCCGACGCTCTATCCACTGAGCCAAGCCGGCTAGGGCTAACTTTTATATTTTAAAGGAAAACTTTTTACAATTAAAATATTTCTACTCCCATATAAAAAAGTATTTTTTCTGTATAATACTGTACAGATTTCATCCTGTAGTTTAAGTATGCTTATATTTCAAATGCAAACATACATTTAAAAATTATATAATCAATCATTTTAATCAAGGATGCAAAGACCATTGAATGGGAAAAGGACAATTTTTTTTTTTCAACAAACGATGTTTTCCCAAACTGGATATTCACATGCAAAAAAATGAAGTTGGACCCTAACTTTATACTATCTACAAAAATTAACTCAAAATTGGTCAAAGTTCTAAATATTGTAAGACCTAAAACTTATGTTTTCTTAGAAGAGACCTTAGAGGAAAAGTTTCATGATAGTGGATTTTGCAGTGATTTCCAGCTGTGACACCAGAAGTAGCACAGGCAACAAAAGTAAAAAATACATACATTATACTACATCAAAATTTAAAACTTCTGTGCATCCAAGGATACAATAACAGAGTTATAAGACAACGTATAGGATGGGAGAAAATACATGCAAATAAGGGGTTAATATCTGCAGTACATAAAGACCTATAATTCAACAACCGAAACACCCCAAATAACCTGAGTATAAAAGGGAATGGACTTAGGTATTTTTCCAACAAAGATATATAAATGACCTATAAGAATATGAAAAGATGCTCAATATCAACTAATCATTATGAAAATGAAAAGGAAAATCACAGTGAGATAATCACCTCACATCAATCAGGATGGCTACTGTAAAAAACAAAACAGCCTAGCCGGTTTGGCTCAGTGGATAGAGTATCAACCTGCGGACTGAGGTTCGATTCTGGTCAAGGGCACATGCCCAGGTTGTGGGCTTGATCCCCAGTGGGGAGCATGCAGGAGACAGCTAATCAATGATTCTCTCTCATCACTGATGTTTCTATCTTTCCCTTTCCGTCCTCTTTCTCCCTTCCTCTTTGAAATCAATAAAAATATGTTTTAAAAAATGTTGTCAAGGTTGTGGAGAAATTGAAATCCTTGTGCACTGTAAACTGGTGCAGTCACTAAGGAAAATGTTCCTCAAAAAATTAAAAATAGAACTACCATATACCCCAGCAATTTCGCTTCTGGATATGTACCCGAAATAACTGAGTGTCTCAAAGAGGTATTTATGCACTCACGTTCATAGCAGCATTATTCATTACAACCAAAAAGTGGAAGCAGCACAAGTGTTTACCTACAGGCAGTGGATAAACAAAATGTCTCATACATGCAATGGAATATCATTCATCCTTTAAAAATGGAAATTCTGACACGTGACAATACTGATGAAACTTGAGGACATTGACTAGGTGAAAAAAAGACATGGTCCTTCCCCCTTTTTTTAAATCTACTTTTTTTTATGTTTCCTACTCTTTGTTAAAGTTTTCACTGAGTTCATTGAGCATCCTTATAACTAATGTTTTGAATTCTGCATCTGGTGGATTGCTTGTCTCCATTTTTCTGGAGTTTTGTTCTGCTCTTTCATTTGGGACATCTTTCTTTTTCCCCCTCATTTTGGCTGCCTCTCTTTGTTTCTGTGTATTAGCTAGAGCTGCGCTGTCTTTTGGTCTTGGTAGGCTGGCCTTAAGTAGTAGGTGTCCTGTAGAGCCTCACTGGTCACCTAAGCTGGGTGTTCTGAGTGTGCCTCCCCCTCATGTGGACTGTGTGCACCCTCCTGTTTTAGTTGAGCCTTAATTGCTATTGGCATATCAATAAGAGGGATTTACCCCCAGGCTGAGCACTTCAAGGACTGGCCTTCACCACCATGAAGGGGCCACCCCACGGTGCAGGGGCAACACCACGGACCAGGATTCACTTCATCGGGACTCTGGTGCCTGAGCCTAATTGTACCTCAGCCACAATTTCCACTGGTTTTCACAGTCAGAAGTCATAGGGACTTCTCTTCCCACACTGTAACCTTGGGCTGGAGAGCCTGGTGTGGGGCTGGGACTCCTTGCTCCTCAGTGGGGACCTCTGCAGACAAGATTTCCCTTGTAATTTTTATCCACCACATGTGGGTGTGGGATCAGCCCGTTCAGTGTCTCCACCCCTCCTAACAGTCTTTTTTTTTTTTACAGAGAGGAAGGGAGAGAGATAGAGAGTTAGAAACATCGATGAGAGAGAAACATCGATCAGCTGCCTCCTGCACACCCCCCACCGGGGATGTGCCCGCAACCCAGGCACATGCCCTTGACCGGAATCGAACCTGGGACCCTTCAGTCTGCAAGCCGACGCTCTATCCACTGAGCTAAACCGGTTTCGGCCCTCCTAACAGTCTTGATGTGACTTCCTTTATATATCCTTAGTTGTAGGACTTCTATTCAGCTAGATTTCAGGTAGTTCTGAATGATGGTGGTTCTGTAGTTTAGTTATAATGTTGATGTGGTTGTGGGTGGATTCAAGGACTGCATACATTTCCCTATTCCACCATCTTGACTGGAAGCCCCAAGATAAAGAATCTTAAAAAGTTCTGCTTTGGCCCAGTAATTCTACTTCTAGGGAATGAATTTAAGGAAATGTTGTAGAAGCTTGCTTAACAAGCTCCAGATTAACTGATGCTCTTTATTTGTTGGTAAATATCCTAAGTGATACTGTTGGTTTTCTGTTCTGTGGTCCCACACTCTGCTTTAGCCAGTTGACCGGCCTGGTCAGTGCCTCCAGCAGCAGACCACTAGGAACACAGCTGTGGCTGAACAAGCTGAGCTCATCATGCATTGTAGGAAGGGAGTGTGCACACTCTGGGGCGTCTCAGTAAAAGTATTCATAGGACTTACATGATTTGGGTTTGTATTAGGTAATTTGGGGAAGGGTGTGAGGAAGAGGGGCTTTACTTTGGATTGGATATTATTAGACTGTGAGGCAATTCTTTGCTTATCTTAATAAATCTTTCTGGGAGGGCTGACAAGCGGGAGATGAAAGCTACACCTGCCAGGGAGTAGCAGTCACATGTTAGCCAGGAGAGGGGGATGTTTGGTGTTCTGTAGGTTGCACAGTGACCTTGTTTTTGTCCATATTCAGACAGAATTTTAAAGTGTTTCTTGTTTTGTCTCCCTTTCTCATGGTCTCAGAGTGACCTTGTCTGATGTTGATATTTTGTGAGATTGTTTATGTCCAGCAGGAGAGTAACATGGCCTCGTTGTGTGTCCCAAGCCAGCATCAGACATCTCTGAGGCCTAGCTGTGTCAAGCAGTTTCCAGATATTCAGGGCTGGTTTTTCTGTTTCAGACTGTTGATAAGAATCAGTTGAAACCTGTTTATATCTATTGTACTTTATGTAATTATATAATTTTATTAGATAGCATGTAAAACATTGAAGTTAGTATAAAAAATGAATACTATGAAGACTAAGTTGAACATTTTTGGAAAGACTTAGGTGAATTGCTAACAGCATTTTTTTAAAATGGCTATTGAATTAGGGGTAGATAAATAGCGAAATAGAGGCCATTGAGAATATGTTTTTTATCAGAAGGATTCTGCATACTGATTGCTGATGTGTCTTCTGGTTCTTATTCCACTTCAAAGAAACCCACATTGTAAATTACAAATGGAATACCATGTGTAATTTATCTAGTAAAGACGATGTGGAACTCTTATCTTTGGAGCCACACTCAGAGACAAGGCCTTGGGCTTCTAACACAAGGTTAGTGCATTAATGTACTTTAATATGTTTTAAGTTTAAAAATGTTTGAGGTATGTGTTCTTTTTTTTTAAATATTTTATTAATTTTTTACAGAGAGGAAGGGAGAGAGATAGAAAGTTAGAAACATCGATGAGAGAGAAACATCGATCAGCTGCCTCCTGCACATCTCCTACTGGGGATGTGCCTGCAACCCAGGTACATGCCCTTGACCGGAATCGAACCTGGGACCCTTCAGTCTGCAAGCCGACGCTCTATCCACTGAGCCAAACCGGTTTCGGCTATGTGTTCTTTTTTTATGACTCTTTATTTAAAGCAACGTCTTAAATTAACCTACCCTTTTGACTTCTGGTCAAGCATAAGTCTTTAGATAGATACCTGACATCATCCATGAGAGTATAAAAGCTCACTGTCACTTTAAAAGCATCAAGTGGAACATATAAAAGCAGACCAGGCAGTACCCAAAGAATGTCAAGACACAGGCTTTAATACTGACTCAGGTTAGTGAGTTTGCATTTTCTTTCCTAGAAGCCATGGAGTAAGAGTGCTGTGTCTCCTATGTAGGGAACACTTTGCAGAAGAAATAGGATCCAGGACTATCAGCAGACTTTTTGAGCATCACACCTTACCTTCTCACTAAAGGTTGTGACTCGAGTGGGTCCAACCTTCTCTGCCAGCTAGTGTTTCTTTCTTCTGATGACTTTTTCTGCAACTAAGTGGAAACAGAAGTGTTTGTGGCATGATACACTAATAATTTATTTAATTAATAATACAGCCCTAGCTGGTTTGGCTTAGTGGATAGAACATCAGCCTGCGGACCAAAGGGCCCTGGGTTCAATTCCGGTCAAGGGTACATGCCTGGTTGTGGCTTGATCCCCATTAGGGGTGTGCAGGAGGTGGCCAATCAATGATTCTCTCTCATCATTGATGTTTCTATCTCTCTCTCCCTCTCCTTTCCTCCCTGAAATCAATAAAAATATATTTAAAAATAATAATAATACAGATGTGAAGATGACATCATAGGTAAATGCTATGCTCGCTTTCTCATTCAACCACATCAAAATTACAACAAAACTACAGAGCAACCATCATTGAAAACCACCTGAAACCTGGCTGAATAGAAATCTTACAGCTGAGAATATAAAGAGTGAAGCCACATTGAGACTAGGAGAGGTGGAGACACTGAACAAGCTTGGCCCACACCCACATGAGGCAGTTAAAAACCAGGAGGGAACTCTCAGCTGGGGAGGTCGTCCCCTCTGAGGAGCAAGGAGCCTCCGCCCTGGGTTTTCGGTGCTGGGGAGAGAAGTCCCAGTGACTTCCGGCTGTGAAAACGAGCGGGGATTGTGACTGAGGGAGACAAAAAGCTGCTGGAGACCAGTGCACAGGCTTACTTGGGCTCCCTTGCTCTGAGCTCCAGAATTGAGGCAGCAATGCGAAAGGTGCCAGGGACATACAGGGAGGAACTGAATCGTCTGGCCTTGAGGCAAGGGCTAGAGCTGGGGGGCAGCTTTCTGCTAGACAGAAGTACTGGCAGAAGTCATTATTCCTTTGCAGAGTCCCCCTGCAGGCACAGTGGGGCACTATATGTTGAGTCTCAAAATACCTAATACTGTTTGCCCTCGCCTGGTGATTCTCTGAGACCCCACCCCACTCAACATTCAGGCCCACCCAAGCTGGTTCCAGTGGCTTTTCCATACTAGCGGGCTTTCCCAAAACCTGTCAAAGGTTCACAAACCCCATACAGCAGCTTCTGGCCTCCGTGTGCCCCGTATTCCTTGCTAAGCAGACCCAAGCCTGGCACTAGTGCAGCTGGACTTAGTTCACAGCTTAGCCTCTCCCAGGCACCTCCAAGCCCAGCACAAGTAGCAGCCATCTGCAGATAACTTTGGAGCGCATACAAGTGCCCCAGGGCATAGGCAGTGACTGACCTTGACCTGTACCTCCCAAGAGGTCCCAGAATCAGCACACACAGTGGCCAGCTTTATACCACACCAGAGCACAACCCAACCACCTCCACAGTGACATACCAAAGGGCTGACTCGGCAAGCATCAGAGCCCTGCTAAAGCGAATGCTGCTCTGCAGCTCCTCTGCTATAATCAGGGTTACTCCTCACAGCCAGTCAGCCTGGGGGTCAATCCCTCCTTGTTGAGCCAACAGTGATCAAGGCTCAACTACAATAGGAGGGCACAACAAGGATATACCTGGAGCACCCAGCTCAGGTGACTAAGGAGACTGCACCACTGGACCCCATGTGGCACGTGCTACTAAGACCAGGAGATACAGCAGCTCACCCAAAAGGGAAACAAATTCAGGGAGGCTGTCAAAGTGAAGAGACAAACATGTTCCAAGTGAAAAAAACGGGACAAACCTCCATAAAAGAACTGAACGGGAGAGAAGCAATTCACCAGATGTGCAGTTCAAAATATTGAGTATAAGGATGCTCATTGAACTCAGTGAGAACTTTAACAAAGAGATAGGAAACATAAAAGAGGAGATAGCACCCTGGCCTGTGTGGCTCAGTTTTTTGGGACATCATCCTGTCCACCGAATGGTTGCTGGTTCTATTTCTGGTCAGGGCACATGCCCAGTTGTGGGCTCAATCCCCAGTAGGGGGTGTGCAGGAGGCAGCTGATGGACGATGTTTCTCTCTATACCTCTCTTTTCTTCTCTTTCTAAAAAGCAATAAAAATATTTTTTTAAAGAAAAGGTCCATTTATATGTTGCCTACAAGAGACTTACTTCAGCCCAAAAGACATACTTATACTGGAAGTAAAGGGATGGAAAAATATATTTCATGAAAATGAAAACAAAACAAAAAATGTGGGGTAGCAATGCTTATACCAGATAAAATAGACTTTAAAACATACAAAGGCTATATATCAAGAGACAAAGAATAACCCAGCAATTAATTCCACTTCTGGCTATTTCCCAAAACACTAATTTGAAAAGACATATGCATCCCTATGTTCATTGCAACCTTACTTAAATATCTAAAATATGGAAGCAAACTAAATATCCATCGATAGATGAATGGATAAAGAGATGGTACATATATGTAATGGAATTTTACTCAGCCATAAGAAAAGAATGAAATCTTTCCATCTGTAACATGGATGGACCTAGAAAGTATTATGTTAAAAGAGAAAGACAGATGCCATATGATTTCACACATATAAGTGGAACTTTAAAAACAAAATGGCCGAAGCCGGTTTGGCTCAGTGGATAGAGCGTCTGCCTGCGGACTGAAGGGTCCCGGGTTCGATTCCGGTCAAGGGCATGAATATATTTAAAAATAAATAAATAAATAAAAACAAAATGAGTGAACAAACAAGAGAGAAACAAACTCTTAGATACAGAGAACATTTTGATGGTTGCCAGATGGAAGACAGGTTTGGGGAGATGGGTGAAAAGGAGGCAAGGTTAGAGTTCGGATTAGGGTTGCCAGCTATAAAAACAGTTTCAGGGATGTAAAGTATAGCATAAGGAACATAGTTAATAATATAATAGCTATGTATGGTGTCTGATAGGTATGAGACTTATCGGGGATCACTTTTTAAGTTTATATAAATGTTTAATCAGCCCGGTTGGCGTAGCTCAATGGTTGAGCATCAACCTATGAACCAGGAGGTCACAGTTCAATTCTCTGTCAGGGCCCATGTTGGGGTTGTGGGCTTGATCCCCAATGGGGGACATGCAGGAGGCAGCCAGTCAGTGATTCTCATCATTGATGTTTCTCTCTCTCTTGCCCTCTCTCTTCCTCTTTGAAATCAATTAAAAATATATTTTAAATGTCTAATCTCTAAGTTGTACACATGAGACTAGTCCAGCCGAGGGCAAACTACGGCCCACGGGCCGGATCCAGCCCGTTTGAAATGAATAAAACTAAAAAAGAAAAAGACCATACCCTTTTATGTAATGATGTTTACTTTGAATTTATATTAGTTCACACAAACACTCCATCCATGCTTTTGTTCCGGCCCTCCGGTCCAGTTTAAGAACCCATTGTGGCCCTCAAGTCAAAAAGTTTGCCCACCCCTGGACTACTCTATGTCAACTACAACTGAAAAATTAAAACATTTTAAAAATTAATTAACCTACTCATCATAGTCTTGATTGTGTCAGGTAAGAATGTTTACCAATGCAAAAAAAGTCATGTGAAGATTTAGGTCAAAAATGGTTCACTAAAACTTTATAATAGTAAAAAATAAATAAATACAAACAACCTATATGTTTATTAGTGTGAGTGATGAAATTATGGTATACCCAAAAGGTAAAATAGTATCTAGTTATTAAAAATCATGTTTTCATGAACTAGCAATCAAAATAGAGACATACTCATAGATAAAGAACAGGCTGACAGCTCTGGGCGGTAGGGTGTGGGGAGGCAGGGGACATGGAGGGATTGAGCAACAAAGGAGAAAATAAAAGAGAACTCATGGACATGGGGAGCAGTGTGGTGACTGGGGAGGGTGGAGGTGGAAGAGAATATAGGAGGATAAATGGTGATGGAAAAAAATAAAATTTTAAAAAATAAAGAAAAGTGTTTTTTTATGTTATCATTTTTTGTTTTTTGTTAATCCTCAACAGGATATTTTTCCTTTTTTTTTTTTTTTAAGAGAAAAAGTTGAAGGGAGGGGGAGAGAGAAAAAAATTGATGTGAGAGAGACACATTGATTGGTTGCCTCATACACACACTCTGACTGGGGCCAGGATCTAACCTGCAGCCTAGGTATATGCCCTTGACTGGGAATTGAACCTGAATCCCTTTGGTGTGCTGGCCAACGTTGTAACCACTGTGCAACACCAGCTCATATAATATGAAATATAAGGAGCAAACTACAAAACCAAATAAACTATGACCAGGATTTTAAGAATGTAAAAATGTATTGCCTGGCCAGTGTGGTTCTGTGTGGTTGAGCCAGGAGGTCACGGTTCAATTCCCAGTCAGGGCACATGCCTAGGTTATGGGCTTGATCCCTAGTGTGGGGCATGCAGGAGGCAGTCAGTCAATGATTCTCTCTCATCATTGATGTTTCTATCTCCCTCTCCCTTTCTCTCTCTCAAATCAATAAAGACATTTAAAAAAATATTTACTATGCAAAGTCTACATATACAGGGTGGGCAAAAGTGGGTTTACAATTGTTTGTATGGAAATAATGCAATAAGTAATAATAATATAAGAATAGGCTTTGTTTTGCATGCTCAAAACTGCAAACCCGCTCTTGCCCCACCCTGTATAATTTGAAGGAAATAAACCAAGAAATTGACAGTTTACCCTAGATGCTGAGATTTCAGAGGTTTTTTATTGTATTCTTTATGTTTTTTTGTACTTTCCATGAGTTCTATAATGAGTATGTGTGTGTTTTTTATATCAGGGAAATGCTTCTTATGAAAAGAGTCCCAGTGTTGGCCATTTTAGAAACATACCTGTGTCCATATCCTTCTGGCTCTTTCCTCCGTGTTTTATTCAGTACAAGAAGTTGTAATGTTCTCAGATGAGAAGGAAAGTAAAGGCACAGGCATGACTAATTTAGCTTGGGGCCCCTGTGGGTTAAATTGACAGGTTGTTTCCAGCCTTAAGGCCTAGCATTCATACCATCTATGAGTTAAGCTTTTGCTGATACACCAACCCTCCCCCCGAGGCAAATGCGCCTTTTTTATACACTGTTTCAGTGTTTACCACACTTTGTTTTTAAAAGGAGAAGAAAAAAACAGTACAATAACCTTTCTCTTCCACTGGCCACACGACACTGCATGTCCTTCAGAAGGAAGAAGGGAATGGCCATCTTTGTATTAGTGCCTGGAGAGACCTTCGCTCCTCAGTAATTAGCTGTCTTGAACAAATGTCCAGTAGAACCCCCACAATATAAAGGTTTTCTGAAGGACTGTGTAAGGTATTTGTCTTAAAATACCAATTCATAGTTTCAAAAAGGTGTTCTCAATGGCCCACACTGAGACATAATAGTCTTTGAAAAGCATCAGTGACAGGAAAGCAACCTTTACATTGCTTTTGATGGTTTGGGCTGTTTTCAGAGTAGAACCACGTGTGTACGTATAAATTGATGTAGCCATTTTAGAAGGGCAGTTGAGCAATATCTGTCAAATTGAAAATACATAGAACCTTTGTACTTCTGGGCATTTACTCTCCAAATAAACGTGCACAAAGTAGGCAAACACATATGGACAAATGTCCTTATCAGAGTACTGCTGGTCCTGTGTTTCCCGATAGGAGAATGCCTGGAGTACTGCAGTCACTGAGAACAAGGTTGGTCTGTTTGTATTCACGACAGTGGTAATGATGTTACCCTTTATTAAGTGCACATTATATGCACTTTGCCATGCATTTGACATATTTGATAATTCTTGTAATAGCTTTATGGCAGGTATTACTATTATTATGGCAGGTATTAGCATCTATTATTATTTTGCAGATGAGGAAAATGAGGCACAGAAATTAAATAACTTGCACAAGTAAGGGGCAGACTTGGTATTGAGATCCAAGCAGTCTGAAGCTCAAGCAGGTTGCACTTGGCCCTCTGACATACATATCCTCCTTTCTGTTGAAAGAGAAAGATCAAGACACAGTGGTCCTTGCCTTACGCAGGTTTGCCTCACACTTTCTTCAGTGGAGGGAAGCATTGCACGGTCACAGGAACGGGCTGGGCCAGGCTGTGATATTTTGTAGGTTAGGTGCATTACATGCATTTCGACATATTTTCAGCTTTGAATGGGTTTATCCATATGTAACCCCATCGTAAGTCAAGGAGCATCTATTAAATATTAAATAAAAAAGCAGTTCAAAACTTAAAGTATAGTATGCTGTCATTTGTGTTTTTAATTTTCATAAAAGCAACAGCACATAGTGGAAGGATACAAAATTAACATAATGCCTCTTACAAGGAGGAAGTGGATGACCTCTATTTCTTACATGTGTTTTAGTAATAGGCATATATTATATAAATTTTTAACTAAAATAAGTGTATCTGGTATTTTGAAAAGTTACAATGCATACTGAAAACTAAGCTGAAGTCATGAGTCTCGAATGCTTTATCCCTTCCCTTTTACATACCTTAGTATAGGGTTTCCCTTATTCTAATACCCTACCACCGCTCTCAGTTCAAGATATCAGCTCTCTTCAGAAATCACTTCCTCTGGGGTTCATTGTTTACCTGACCCCACTTCAAATATTTAAGTTTTTTATTGACATAGCACCTTAATTTTGTATTTTATTCCTTTACCTACATTTTTCTATTGTTTCCTAAAGGATTTGAGATTGCTTATTTTAAGATATGATTCTATAACCTAGTATAGTTCTATAGTTGAGCAGTAAGATTATCTTTTAGTGTCCTAGAATTAGGCAAAAAACCTGAATTTTGTAATTGTGATTTGACAAAAGGACACATACCATCTTGTTTTTCTTAAAAAAACAAAACAAAAAACAAACAACAACAAAAAAACCACAGTTTTTTCCCCTCATACTAAATTTGAACAAAATGTCTGTTCCATAGGCTCTTTTATGCAATTTCTTCTTTTCTGGTTGTTTTTGATATTTTATTGATTTTTTTACAGAGAGGAAGGGAGAGGGATAGAGAGTTAGAAACATCGATGAGAGAGAAACATCGATCAGCTGCCTCCTGCACACCCCCTACTAGGGATGTGCATGCAACCAAGGTACATGCCCTTTATCGGAATCAAATTTGGGACCCTTCAGTCCCCAGGTCGACGCTCTATCCAGTGAGCCAAACCGGCTAGGGCTTTTTCTGGTTGTTTTTGTGTGTTGTTTTTCTCTACCCAACTAAATTATAAGCTTCCTTAGGACAAATTCAATTTTCTTTCTTTTTAAAAATATCATTGGTTGATTTTGAGAGAAATATCATTTTATTCCACTTATTTATGCATTCATTGGTTGTGTCTTATATGTGCCCTATCTGGGAATGGAACCTACAGTCTTGGTATATCAGGACAATACTCTTAACCAACTGAGATAGTCGAACCTGGGACCCTTCAGTCTGCAGGCTGATGCTCTATCCACTGAGCCAAACCGGTTTCGGCTCAAAGACTTAACTTTTGAGCAGTTGGGAAATTGATACTTTTGTCCTCCTCATGAGGGTATCTTCTGGTAGCCTTAAAAATAAAAATCACACCCGGCCGGCCTGGCTCAGTGGTTGAGCGTCACCCCATGAACCAGGAGATCACAGTTCAATTCCTGGTTAGGGCACATGCCCTGGGTTTTGGGCTCCATCCCCAGTGTGGGACGTGGTGGAGGCAGCCAATCAATGATTCTCGCATCATGGATATTTCTCTCGCTCTCTCGCTCTCTCTCTCTCTCTTCCCCTCCCCCTTCTCCCCCTCCCTCTCCCTCTCTCTCCCTCTCTGAAGTCAATAAAACTAAAAATTTTTTTAAATAAATTTATTTCTCAGTGTGTAGCTTTTACTGAGTTCTTTTGTAACCCTTCCTACCTACCTGAGTATGTAGTGTAAAGAACTGGAAATTTGTTACAACTTTTGTGTTAATGACAGTTACTTTTTAAAATATGTAAAAAAATATTTAGCTTTTGTTAAAAAGGAGAGACAACTGGTCCAAAATGAAGTCACTTGTGCTAAGCCTCACATCAGCAAACCAACTTAATACCTCACATAATTGCAGTTTCAACCCCTCACTTTTTTCTTTCTCTTAGGCCAAGTTATCAGGGCATGGGACATTGGAGTGGCTACCATGAAGAAAGGAGAGGTGTGTCATATACTGTGCAAACCAGAATATGCATATGGCTCCACTGGCAGTGTCCCCAAAATTCCCTCGAATGCAACTCTCTTTTTTGAGGCAAGTATGTGTGTGATGCTGCCTTGTTAGCATCTGCTCAGCTATCGTGCTGGTTCTAAAGCAGCAGGCAGTAGAACGAGGAGCTGAGCTTGCGATTGAGAATGAGATCCAATTTATTTCTTTTGGAGCTTGACTTTTTGAATTGTTTCCCACAAATCCAAGGGGTGTGTGCCAGTGCTTTCTTAGAAATGTGTCTCTGGCACAAAAAGATCATATCCAAATAAACAAGCGACCAGGCTTAGCAATAAAGGTGCTGGTCAGTAGTGTGAGTATGACGTACTAAAATTGACCAGAAGACAGGATGGAAATGTGGGAAATAAATGTTGACATGTGCCTAAATCAAGTTTTTGGTTTTTGTATTTACTTAGTTTAATCCTTACTCGAAGATAAGGCTTTTACTCTCTCTAAAAATCAAATTTTTTTCCATTGATTTTTAGAGAAAGTGAAAAGGAGGGATGGAAGTAGGGGGAGAAAGAAAGACACATCGATGTCAGAAATGCACATCGATTAGTTGCCACCACCAGGGCCGGGGATCAAACCTGCAACCCAGGTATGTGCCCTTGATTAGGAATCAAACTTGTGACACTTCAAGGCGCAGGCTGATGCCCTAACCAATGAGCACACTAGCAAGGGCCTAAATCAAATTCTAAGGCATTTTCATATTACAAGGTTTATAAATGTAACATCTCATTAGACACAGTAGGGGTGATAACATGTTATTGATTGTGTGTTGAGTTACACGCATTTGACTAAACTTGATTTTAAAATTGAGGGGGGAAATAAATGTCTGAAACAGTGTAAATAGGTAAAATACACCCTTAAGTGGTTACAGGCCTGGTTTCATAAGATTTATTCTTACATTTTAGGAAGAGGATTCCATGAATCTGGGATGGAAAAGTGGTGGTGTCTCAAGTCAGACAAAATGGTTTTCGGCCAGCACTTTGTAGTTCTGGCTTTTTGCCCATCAGGCATTTTTCCTAGTATTTCCTGTCTGTCTTTACTCTGCTCCCCACAGGATGTGGTCCCAGACATTATCATTACATGAAGGTTCTTTCCAGATATTGAAAAGTGCAATGTTCTTGTTTTCCCACTCTTCCAATAACTAAGATGCATAGATAAATATAAACAGTTTTATTTTTGTAAAATGAAAGAATTGGTTGCCCTTCCCTTTAAGTATATTAAATTAGCTTTGTTTGATCTTTTCTCAGCCAAATTTCTTTCTTCTTTCTAGATTGAGCTCCTTGATTTCAAAGGAGAGGATTTATTTGAAGATGGAGGCATTATCCGAAGAATCAAACGGAAAGGAGAAGGCTATTCAAACCCAAACGAGGGAGCCACAGTAGAAAGTAAGCAGATGTGAGAGCAAAATAGTCCTTAACAGTTGGGTTCCATTTATGTGGGTGAAATGGAGATTTCTTTTTAAAACTTTGTTTATAGAAATAAATATAGTGAATATATATATATCAACAATAGTTTAAATTTGACATTTGTTTAATAATGCTTCCATTCAGTAAATATTTACTTAACATGTATATACCAGGTACTATTCCAGACTCCACAAACTCACAAAATGAAAAAAGAATATCCCACCCATCAGGGAATTCTTACTCTGTGGACTCCTTGGTGTGCTAACAACTGTATTAGTTGCCATATATGTTTATTTACATGTTCCTCACAATAACCTTGTACAGTAAGATTTATTATCCTAAGAAAAGTAAGAAGTTTTCTAAATTGCTGGTACGGAGTTACTAAACAGAGTAATAGATTATAATGCCCTTCAGGCCTTTCCAACCCATGTCCCTGGCTGTCATCAAGGTAAACAGTTCATCATTTAAGTTTGATCAGAATTGGATGAGAGTGTTCATTCTATTCTACATCAGGAGACCCGGGTTCAAGGTCTGCTTTGCCATTTATTGAGTGACCTGAGACTATTCTATTTTTTCATTTGCCAAGTTGAGAGTGAGGATACTACTGAGGTCTTGAATGACTGGTCATTCTTCCTCCCAGAGCACATTGTGTACACCATTGTGTACTGCTCATCAGTTAACACTGCAACCAGCATTTGCCCATTTCCTCAGTACACAGTGAGTGCTTGACTAGAAGCTTCTTCATCCTTTTGTTTCCAGCATCACCGACAGAGCCTTACTCAGAAAATGCATTTTGCATGCATTTTGGAAAGATGCCATTTATTGAACTGAAGTACTTCAAAAAGAAGTGTGAGAAAACAGGACTACTTCTATTAAGAAAAAAAATCAAATCGCTAAACAAGGATGGCAACATGAACTATTATAAAAGTTCCATTTGAAAATAAAGCGTTCATTTAAAACTGTAAACTAGAATAGTTTATTTTCAAATATTACTTTGGATCCATATTTCATTTTTATGAGTCTGGCAAATTAATCCAAATTAGTTGTTCTAAAATTGGAAATAGTAAAAATAGTATTACTGTACTATTGCAATTGAAGTGTTTAGATAGCTCTCATTCACAATAAGATTTAGACTAAATGAAGAAGAGCTCAGATGCATGTTGGAGAAATCCCTAGATCAGGAGTCAGGAGATAGGATTCTGGCTTCAGCTGGCTGGCTTCTCCTCCTTGCCTCTCTGAGCTTCAGCTGCCTTCCTATACAGTGATGCAGGTAGACCTCTTGGTTCCTATGGTCCCACTCGCCCTAAACATTATTTGATAAAATTCTAAATGTTTATAAGTTATAGGAATGGTAGAAAATCATTTTCAGTATATTAACAATCACTATTCCAGTGTGATTTTTCTTACCTCAATTAAGATGACCATCTTGTAATTTTTATTCAGTGCTGTCCTTTTTCCATTTTAAAATAGTCACCGTGTTCTAAAGTATTCTAATTGACATTGTTATGATGACTGTTAGTCATGGCACTTTAGTTTAATTGCCAGTAGTGACTACATTGTTACTTTTAAGCTTTGCTTTCACAGAAAATCCAGTCTGACTGACCTAAGGCTCTAAATAGCCACCAGCTCCTCGTCTCCCAACTCCTGGTCTCTCCCATCTTCTTCTTTGTTAAATTCAGTGCTTGTGGCTGGCACATGGAGGTGCTGGCTGGATGTGGCTCTCTTGCCTGGTGCCTCGCAGTGCTTTCAACCACATTCACATGCAAAGAATGCAGACAATGGGCAGTAATTTTCAAATGTGAAAATTTCAAGAGTGGTTTTCAGGATTCAGATTGTTGGGGTACCCTTTCCTCTCACCTCCTTTTCCTCTCCAAATCCCACTGAAGTGAGAGAGGAGGAATTATTGCAAAAAAAAAAAAAAAAGAGGAAGAAATCCACATTAGTTAGTGCTGGAATCCAGGAAGAATACAAGAAGTGAATCAGAAATTATGAAAATTCTGGAATATGTAAACTAGATGAAACTGGACTGATGGAAACTAGGGTTGGGAAACTCAACCCAAAACAGGTGTAGAGAAGACCTCTGTAGAGGTACATGCCGTTCTCAACAGGCTTGGGCAGAACTCCAAGCCCACAGGCAGCTGGTGTGAGGGAGCCGAAGCAGGCTATGGGGCAATCCTCAGGGTTGTTATAAAACAATATGGAACAGCTGGGCCAGTAAACCTCTAATGGAGAAGTTCTTTGGCTGAATTTAGAATTACCTGGGGAGCTTTTAAAATTCTGATGCCCAAGCTTCAGCCCAGACCAGTTAAACAAAAGATTCAAACCCCAAAGGATGGAACTCCTCAGGCACAAGCGTGTGTGTGTGTGTGTGTGTGTGTGTGTGTGTGTGTGTGTGTGTGTTGTTGTTGTTGTTGTTGTTTGGGGGTGGTTGTTTTTGTTTGTTCGTTTGTTTGTTTTTAACTCCCCTAGTGATTATAGTTTGCAGCCAAGGATTGAGAATTCCTACTCTAGGGTCTTTTGCTCCCAGGCTGAAGCCAGTAAGGCCATATTAAAATAAAATTAATGCTAGATACTAGTAAGAATAGCATGTAGAACTTACACATCCACCCAAAAGGGAGTAGGGAAGTAGAGGAACAAGAAAAATGGTATAAATCTAGCAAAAGTAATAAAAGAAAAATAACAAAATTTATATAGAAAACCTAAAATAAGATGGTAGGAATAAAACAAATCATCAGTGATTACAAAAAATAGGGATAGGATTCTCATAAGGTTAAAATGAGAACAAAATTTAACTCTCTAGTCTTTGTAAATAAAACACCAAAAACAAAATAGCACCAAAAATTGAAAATAGAGGAATGATTTTATGTGCCTATCTTGAGACCTGATAAGAGCTATGAGTTCTTTTTTAGTTTGGTTTTTCACATACTTTTCAAGTATCAATGTCCTGCCAAATTTTGTCCAGTAGGAGAGAGAAAACTCTTGAAACCATTTTATTTTATGTTTTCACAAAATAATGTACTGTGACACTTGGTCTAAACTGGACAGTATTTATTCTTTCAAATATTTTGGATTTATATAGCTCCTTCTAAAAAAAGGTATCTTTAAGTCTTAAGGTAGAGTAAAATCTTAGTAGAGAATAGTCTTTTTTTTGTTACTAAAAAATCCAGCCAATGGATCATTTACTTTAGAATAATATTAAAAGACAAAAGCTCCATATAAGTAAAGAATTTAAATAGCTCTTGGAATTTATTAAAAATAGGAGTACTAACTAATGTATCAAAAAGGAAAATTCCTATAAATGAGTGAAAATTACTACCATTTTCCCTACTGTTCTGTTTTCAGATTAATCATTAAAAAGATATTTTCTTTGTGGCCCTGAACTGTGTATTGGGCACAGTGAGAAGCATAAGACATTGCCTTTGCCTACTTTTAAGTTTTATTCACAATTTAACAGCTTTCTCTGTGGAGCCATTAACTCAGCGGTTCTCAACCTGTGGGTCGCGACCCTTTCATAGGGGTCGCCTTAGACCATCGGAAAACACATATATAATTACATATTGTTTTTGTGATTAATCACTATGCTTTAATTATGTTCAATTTGTAACAATGAAATTAGGGGTCACCACAACATGAGGAACTGTAGTAAAGGGTCGCAGCATTAGGAAGGTTGAGAACCACTGCATTAACTGGTTTCCTTTACCAACTTCTAAAGTATGTTTTATCTGGTATAATTTGCCACTAATTGCAGCTAACATTATTTGAGCTTATATTTGTGTATTCATATGTGACAGTGTTTTCAGACAGTAGATACCCCAACATATGAATGAATGCCAGGTATTGGGCTAGAAGCTTTATTCAGTATTTAATTGAATCCTCACAACAATTATGAGTTAGCTAATATCCTTTCCCCATGCTATGCATGAAGAAACTGAGTCAGACAGTTTAAATGAACTTGCCCAAAGCCACAGTTGTTAAATGGCAAATCAGGTCTGATTAAAGTGCTAACCTGTGTAGAGTGGTGAGGATTTGTGTTAGTGTAGAATGTATTGCTATGAGTATGCTTCCTGTTTAGACTGAGATATATGTCATCTGTATAAATGTTATTCTATTCAAGTAGCCAGCTTCCAAGCCTGCTGTCAGTTAGGACCTGTCCCTCAGTTTCATAAGCAATTTTGCAGAGGCATTTGTTCATCTCGAATAGTACGAAATGGTGCAGGGGAAGAAGGGAGGCAGTTTGCCCCCCAGTTGACCACCATGCCTGGTGGGAACAGTTTCTCTTCTAATCAGTGATTAAATATGCTCTCCTAACTCTAGAAATCCATCTCTGCTTCCTCATTTGCCTTTTCACAGGGTTGTTAAGGTCCCCTTGTCTCTTGGATGCTCTTGCTCTATTAGGCAGGAGACACGGGCAGAGAGAAGCTCATTTGGCATGAATTAGGCAGCAGAGAAAAAAACCTTGGCAAGTGGGAGTAACCTGCCACAACCTGGTTTTCTCTGGCCAAATGACCGATCTTGTCTAGTAGTAATGCTATTACAACATTCCCATTTAGATCCCCATGACCCAGTAATTGTTTTGGGAATGAGTGCAAAGCTATCAGACACCAACAACTATAATTAGAAAAGGGAAAACAGACACTCACCAGAGCTGCGTCTTTAGGCTGGAGCGTTTACAGCATTTTATTTTTGGGTTGTGGAGCCTTTCTCACTTTTGCTTCCTAAAATACAAATTATACAGTTTTTGCATTCCAGTTTTTGTTACTACAGTACACACACACACACACACACACACACACACACACACACACGGTTTAATCAGAGTACAAATTGCTGTCAGCACATTGAGTTCATGTGCCAGCCACATTCAGAACAGGGTGTTCTGTGCTCTTCAAAACAAAATTGCTCCAGGGCAGTCAGAGAACAATAAGTCAGAGCTCCAGCTTAAGTGATGTTTTGCAGCAGACGGGCTCACTTGATGTGGTTACAGCTCGTACTGCATAGCTAAACTTGAGTAATTTGGTTTGGTTTGACTTTTGGGGGATTGGAGGACCTTCCCCCCTCCTCCACCCTCCTTTAAGTTGCATAGACTTTAAGACAAAAGAAAATGTTGTCCCTTTTTAACTTGTGTATTTCTTCCCTACCAAAAAAATCCTAAGTAGAAGCATCCTGTATGTACTTTTCTTCTCTTTAGGCACGTCATAGATCGTTTACTTCCCATAAATTATACTGGTTGGAATTAGCAACAGACCTCCTGAGCCCTAGGGTCTGAGCTCCCAGTGAGTCATGGTGGTTATTATTAAATATTTATTAAGTGAGTATTTGCATTAAGAAATACAAGGTCAGAAGCAACCACAGGTCCTCCACAGCCAGAGCTGCCAGAGTAGTCCTTAGTAGCAATTGTTGAGACAATTTAAAAAATAGTTACTGGCTCTGTAGGAGATAGGCATGTCTACCTCTGTCACCACAAAGGGGGCCCCTACTATAGCCATAGGCACACATTTGTGTGGCTGCTGTGGCTCGGAGGTGGTGTGTGAGTCTGTGTCCACACCAGTGTTCCAAGTTTAGAAGCCAGTTAAGGAGCCACAGCCTTTGCTACTTGTAGATGTAAAGAATCAATGGGCTATATTCTCTCTGAGGCTATAATACCTGATAGCATCAGTATTAAAGGTGGTGGTTTTATATATACATACAAACTGGGGGGGAAGGGGGCGCGCACAGATAGTTTATCAGTTTCAGATTTTATGGTACTGTATGTAGTGCTTGCTCAGGTCCAACCTAGAAGAGTGCGATTTACCAGGAACAAACATTGGTTCTGTCATTTACTATCTTAGGCCAGCTGCAATGAATGTGGGTTTTTTTGTTTTTGCTTTCTTAACTATGCCTTCACTATCATTTGACTTGAACTTGTCTTTTTTTGTTTGTTTGCTTTACTTACCTTTCCCAACATGTTTATTAGTAGCCAATCTTTTTTTCCTAATATCATCGGATATCACATGCAAGGAGAACTTCTGGAGTTATTTGTGAAATTTTTATATCTAATACATGCATCGAGCCCCAAACCAGGCCTGGGACGTGACACACAGGCAGGAGTCCTTGCAGTCTCTGCGTTTCCTGTTTTGAAAACATATTTAAACTTGATCAACCAAAAACCACAATGAATGTACTGATAGTTTCCTCCCCCACAAATGTACTCTCCTTTAGGGAGGAAGATACTTCTAACAATAAACCTCAGACAAAAAGATTTGTCAACTCAGTTGTGAGCTACTAAGGTATCTCAATACTTGAAGAATCCCACAGTACACGGGGGCTGAACCTCACTGCTCACTCAGCAAATCTGTCAGGAAAAGTGTCATCACATTCATCTAAATTCAATTTCTTGGGCAGATTTAAAAATACTTAATGCAAACTTTTCAGAACCCTCAACTTTAGAAACATCAGCATTTACTCTAGTAAAAATATCTATACTTCTAGTATATGTATACATATGAAAATAATAAAGTTAAATTTATTTTTCAGATATTTTCCAATTCAAAAGAACTTTCAATGTGTTGCAAATTGATTACGTTTTATCTAGAGCAGTGGTTCTCAACCTGTGGGTCGCGACCCCTTTGGTGGTCGAACAACCCTTTCACAGGAGTCACCTAAGACCATCCTGCATATCACATATTTACATTACGATTCATAACAGTAGCAACATTACAGTTATGACGTAGCAACAAAAATAATTTTATGGTTGGGTCACAACATGAGGAACTGTATTTAAAGGGCCAGAAGGTTGAGAACCACTGATCTAGAGCATTCCAAAAGTTTGTGGAATAGAACCATCAGCATTTATGAGTATGGGACAAAGAGCAAAATTCCTATATGCCAGCTATACCCTGAAAGTCAAACCTTTTCTAGTTTGGCCAAGCTTCCACTCCATCCTAAGTCTGCAGTGGGAACAAATCAGGATGCTATTAATCCTAGTGAATTAGAAAGGCATAAATGTCCATGAGACATTGTGGCTCCTTGTGTCAATGGAACTGGTGTCTTCAGGGTTTCTCTCATTTCTTAGGCCCAGGCTAAAAGTAACTGATCAAATGATTAACTATGGGAATTACCTTAGAACTGATTTGTGGCCTATATTGAGTTATATTACTGAGTCACAGAACCATAGAATTTTAGAGCTTCATAGGACCTTGGAAATCATGTAGTTCAAAAATAGAGTAAGTTGGAATTAAATTTGTATTTGGAAAATGGTTGTTTCATGGAATGACTATAACAGAATGAGTGATTTTTTTTAAGTCTCTAAAGCAAGTTATTGATGTACAGTAGAGCAACCAGTAAAAAAAAAAAAGTAAGCATTTTAGGAAATCATTACATTTTAATCTAGGCCATTAGATTACAGAAATAGGAATAAAGAATATTCTTATGAAAGACAAGATATTATATTGTTGTGCATTAATACAAGCAATTGGTTTTTTCTTACTGAGTCAAAGATCTAAATGGTAAGGAATGAATAACCCTTACTATTAAAAAAAATGTAGTTGAAAGTTTGAGAGTATTGCTTATCCCGGGGTGGGGGGGTGGGGGTCTAATTGATCAAGGAAAAAATACATGCATTTTTCTTATTTTGTCTTGGAAAAACCATAAAAGCCCCTTGTCTAATATGAAATTGCCCTCAAAACGAGCTGAGTGTGTGAGTGGAGTGGGGAATTGGGCCCAAAAAAACTGACCTCTTCAGCTTAACATTTTACAGGCAGTGGTTAAGTAATTTGGTTTGTGATGGTACAGTAGAGTATTTATTGATTGTCACAGTTTACATTTATTTCTCCACCAAGGGATATGGCTATGTTAGTTGATGATGTTGCCATTGGGTTTTCCATTTTTATTCAAATACTAGAGGCCTGGTGCACAGATTCGTGCACCGGTGGGGTCCCTTGGCCTGACCTGTGGGCATCCCCCGAAGGGTCCCGGATTGCAAGAGGGCTCAGGCAGGCCAAGGGGCCTCACTGGTGCACAATTGGGGCCACGGATGTACCGTGGGAGGTTCGCTGGCTGGGGAGGATCCGCTGGAGGGCTCCAAGGCATGTCCGGCCTGTCTCACTCAGTCCCCATCAGCCAGACCCCAGTAGCAAGCTAACCTACTGGTCAGAGCGTCTGCACCCTGGTGGTCAGTGTGCATCATAGCTACCAGTCGAATGGTCACTTAGTCTTTTATATATATAGATATATCTATAATAATAAAAATGTAATATGCGAATTGACTTAATGACCAAACAACAGAACAACTGTCTGGATGACCTTCCGGACAACCACACTATGATATACACTGGCACCAGGCCAGCCAAGGCGGGTGCAGTGCGATTGGTCGGGGTGCCCCACCATCGCCGTGCAAAGGGAAGCCGAGGCCACCCTCTGCGGGGCGATCAATGGGGGGGACTCCGCAATTAATTGCCCCAGAGGGAGGCCCAGACCACCAGCCAGTGGGGCGATCAATGGGAGAGGGGCTTCGTGATCACCCCAGAGAGGGAGGCCCAGGCCACCTTCTGTGCGGCAATTGATCACAGAGCCCTGGCCAGGTGGGCGGGACCTCCCTCTGTTGGATGCTCGATCACTGAACTCCGTGATCAATTGCCCCAAAGAGGGAGGCCTAGGCTACCAGGCTGGCAGCAGGTGGGCGGGGCCTCCCTCTGCAGGGCAATTGATCTGGTGGCCCCACGATAGATCGCCCCACAGAGGGAGGCCCAGGCCAGCCAAAGCAATCACACCACACAGATGGCAAGCAGTGGCAGCGGCAAAGGTGGGTCCAGCTGCCCGCAT